TCCTGACCTGTACCAGGTACTGTGCTTATTGCGAAGCCTAGCAGCACTGATGTAGACCTGTTCTTAGAGAACCTTGGTTCATTGCTCATTCTCATTTTATACTGTGGGGAGTTACAAAGGAGTTTTTTTAATGTCAAACATGCATTCCTTTAATTATTTTATCTTAGTAAAAAGATATGTTAGCTTCTTTTTTTTTTCTTGTACAGAGAGAGGGGTTACAATTACATGAGCAAGATAATGAGTTCATTTCTTATCAAGCATTGTAGCCTCATCCTTTGTTTTCCCTTCCCAGCCCTTCCCATCCTTCCCATCCTTCCCCCCCCATCCTCCCACCCAAAACCTCTTCCCCCCACACACCAAAGTTGTAAAGTTTGTTTTTGACATAATGACTTGTACATCTCATTGTTGCAATGGGTCCACCTGTATCCCTATTTAAACAATTGTTTTTTTCCCTTCCCCTCCACAAATTATACTGATATCAAATACAGTGAAAGCAGGGGTTATACCGTGGGGGAACAAAGGAGGTTTTATGCAGAACCATAGCATGGCTGTCTTCAGGTTTAGGAAAACACTGTAACGTGATAGGTTGAGTAGCAAGCTAGAGGGGTGAGGTGATGCTGAAGACACGGGACTGGTAAATGACAGGTAGCTGGATAAGACAGTGAGAATTGTAGCCAAGGCAGTGGAGTGGTAATGAAGAATGGTTTTAAGAAATTTGAGAATCAGCACATTCTCATTCTGAGAAAAAAAAAAAGAGCTGTCACTCCTTTTTTAGCATTCCCTACACCACTTCCTCTGCTTCAGATAAACAGTGCGTTTCACTTTTGGCTAGGATTGCTGCTCCTGCACCCTTCCTACATGCCTCTCCCCTCTGCTTTTCTTTCCCAGTCCTCCTGACTCAGTAGTATCTGGTTGCTTTACTCTGCTACAGTTGTAGTAGTAGTAAATAAACCATCAGAACAGATTAGATGGTCACTGTCACACCTCCCTGCCCATGTGGACCTTAAGCTATTTGAAGGCAGCAGTGCCATGTTGTTCTTCTTATACCCAGTGACTCTAGAACCCTCTGGGCCCAGCACAGTCCTAGCAATATTAATCTCCCCTGAGCATGCTGCAGCTTCTCACTCCCCATTGAATTGTCTCCTTCGCTTTTCCCCAATATTTCCCCTGTGGGTACCTCTGTTATCATCCATCTGATACAGGAACAAAAGCCTTGCTGGAGTCAGCTTGTTATTGTTCATTCAAGCTAGTCTTCTGTCCAAGGGAATCCTTATTCTCTCCCCTTCAGCCTTAGACCATCCTCCAAATCCACAAACCTTGCCCTTATGACTCCAGCCCTCAAAGATTGCCCTATAGCTAAACTGTCACAGCACCCATAGTGTGCCCTTCACAGGCAGTTACTCTGGGACTCGTCTTTGTTCTTTCTTTCTTTCTTTTTTTTTTGGGGTCCGGTTGTGGAGCCTGAACTCTGGGCCTGGGCACTGTCCCT